GCGATATCGTCCTCTTTTGGAAGGCCAAACAAAGTAGTTTCGCTTTCACAACGAAGCACACAGCGCCTTCACGACATGGCGGCAACAATACTACAGCGAGAATAAAAGTTACGCCTTCTTTCCTTGCGTGAACATTTGGGCGGCATCATGCAAATCTTCCCACATCGTGACGTAGACGTGGGGGCGTGTTAGAACGAGCCGTTTTAGGTAGGCGTGGTTAACTCTTAACTTTTATAAAGAATATCTCTTTGGTTTTAAGACTTTAGTGTTTGCAACTTTACAGATCTTCTTTATGCACCAAGAGCTTGTAACACTTCAAAGAGAAAGGAAAAATTGAAAATCGCATCATATGACCCCTTTAAAATTGTTACTGGTGCAAGAAAACTTTAACATTAGAAGCCTTAGACACTAAATGAACGTATAAGGTCCCTTTAATCAACATTGGTTTGACACATGGTCCACTGCTGCGGAACAGCCAAACTTTGACTCAAATATTACCTCTTCCCAAGTAAACTCCTCATTGGGTGATCTTTCACCCTCCATTGTGAAGGTTTTCCCTGTTCCAGTTTGTCCATATCTTAAACCAATAAGAAATTATCCATTACATAAATACATAAGAATTTTTTTTTTAATACCATGCCAGCTTTTTAGCTATTCTAATGGCAAAAATCTAAGTTTAGTTAAAACGTAGAATAGAAACCAAATAAAATTTCTAGGTCCAAAAACTCAGAATTAAAAAAAAAGTTGAATGATTTTACATTTAAATACAGATACTCACGCAAAGACAGTACAGTTATAGCCCATGATAACTTCATCTAATATGGGGCAAACCACACTCCTATAAACGTCAATTTGTTTGGCAGAAGGACCAAAAACCTAAACCAATTGAAATGACAAATTTAATGAGCATTACTACACAGGAAAAAAATTAAATGACATTAATACTCAGGATGTGCATGGACAACAAGCCAAACACTCACCATGTCAAAAGTGTATGCTTTTCTTGCTGCTTTGTCTGTGGCGCCTCCAGTACGGACTATCACCTCTTTTCGGTTCTGGTCACATTCAACAACTGTATGAGAGGCAGATTTACGCTCCACTGTGTTGAAGGGTCTGTGAATCGCACATCAGATATGAGAATGGTTTAGACATTAATTTCCATCTCATAAATACACACAATTTTATTTAGAAAAGAAAGAAAAAGACAACGTAGAACAGCCAGAGTTAACATTACACTAGAAAATAGATCAAAATAAACATCATATTCTAGGCTTTTCGGCTAAAGCATCAGCACCTATATATATTAAAAAAAAAGATCAAACCATGGTTTTAGCCAGAAATCAGTTACATAAATTGGTCATTTAAATCGTGTCATGTGAGGGCAAGCTGTCTTGGCCTCAGAACAAAAATAAAATAAACTAAATAAAAATTTCTGTTTGCAGGGTAGAATTTAATAAATAAATAAAGAGGGTTTTAAACTAGGAGTATAAAAACCATACATATGCAAGTTGGTTATTTGTCATACAGCACAACATACAAAATATGTGATCGAGGCATTCTTACACTACTTACAAAAAAATATAAATAACGGTTACACATAAAACCTGTTACATTTACCTGCATCGTACAACCACTTGAATATTTCTGCCTTTTTCGTCTTTTTTAACTGCTGGTAACGTTAACTGTGATGAAGCCATTTTGAAGGAGCGTCTTCCGTGCTCCAGGTCTGAAAATGTCCTTTAAAATGTAACCTTTAAACAAAATTAGATTTGAAAAAAGCAAATATATAAGTCACACCGGAAATCATTTATATAAATATTGAGCCATTTAAAAAATATAAACGTACACAAATATACTGCAAACACCCGCACCGCAGATCCATTAGTATGACATTGTCTAGCCTAAATGGCGCCTAACCAAAATAAATGACAAAACCAAACTAATAAGAGCAAAATTAGCAAATGCACGTACCGTTCACCTGAACTCCTTTAAAAGCAGATCAAATAAGCTGCCAAAGTCGTTTAAAATCCCACCAATAGTGCAGATTATTGGAATACACTCTATTAGCTGTACGCTCTGACTACGAGTCTCCAAGCGCTGCAGTTGCTGACTTTGAAAATCGCGCATCTGCAGCTTTAAGCCAATCAGAGAAGAGGGTTTTTTCACCATGCTTCTGATTGGTCTAACGGAGACGAGCTGGAACGGATGCATCTCGGGAAAGTGCAGTGTTTTTAAAATAGCACTGGACGACGAGAGAATTAATAAATAGCTTTTAACAGTACTATATTTATTTTTCAGTAAAGCTGGTGTAATAATTCTGCATTTTAAATGGAAACATATAAGGCGTAAATGAAGAATGAAGGAATCAGATAAAGAATGAACATTTCATAATTAATTTCAACAAGTCATAAACAATTGATATTTATTTAATAATAGTTAATGGCTTTTTTGTTAGACTAATGTTTGTATTATGTTTATTATGATTGCTTTAAAATGTGGTGTTGTACATTACAGAAAACAAGTAAGTGTGGGGTCTCTCTTTTTATGTCACATTTTAATATGCTCTAAAATTATTTTCCTACTTTACTGCAGGTCTCATTACAACAAAGGAGGAACTGTGATTGAGATTCAAATAAACGTTTGTCTTTCTGACACCGCCTTTTGCTTGAAACGACTGTAGTTCCTAAAATTACCAGTAGATGGTGGTAAGAAACCATGACACACTTGTGTTCTTAGTAAACAGATCTAGGCAGTAGCCATTTTAGGCCTTCATATTCCAACTGGTACTATTTTAAATTGTATTTGGACCGCAGAGCAAATCATGCAGTGGAAATACATATTTGTATAAATATATTCAGGTACTTTTCTAGCCGTTGTCTTACATGATTAATTGTCACTCTGTCATCTATTTATCAACTGCATGAAGATTTATTTATTCACACCAATCTTATTTTAAGGAAATATCCTTAATTAGAAATACCCTTTGTAAATGTATTCATAATCATCATATATCGCAATCTCCTTTTCTATCATTCTTATATTAGTACTTCTTATTCTTAGTTGCAGAATTAATTTCTTTTTTATTTCCTGATTGTTAACTTTGTACTAGCTTGAGCACTTATGACCCAGGGTTTGATAAAAAAAAAGAAAATTCAACTTGTTATCATGTTATTATAAGTTATTTTTGCTATTAAATGCTTTTGTGTAAATATTTTACTGTTTTATTGCCTTATTAGACCCAGACATAAAAGTAAATATAAAAACATAAAAGTAAATGTTCAAAAACTATTCAGTGTTTATTATGTTAAAACTAAATGTTTCAAAAATTACAACTGTCTCACTGTTGTGACAAAAGTTAGTGTACTTGTTTAAAAGTGAAGACAAATGGTGTCATTGAAAAACATGCTTGAGGTGTGATGTGATGTGTGAAGAAAACAAAGAAAAAAAATATTATTTGATTAGTTTAAAACACAATACAAAATTGAGATGTGCTTTGAATGCAAACACTGTTGTGGAATTGTATATGACTTTAACAAGAATGACACCAATTACAGACTTTTTCTTATGATCTTATATCAAATAAAAGACAATGTTAGCAGACAATTAAATACACTAGTGTGAGTGTAAATAAATATAAAAATAAAAGAATAAATAAATAAAAGTTTAAAACACCTGCCCAACTCAATCCGAGCAGCTGAATCCTTGGCCATCTTCAAGAATCGGCTAAAAACTCATCTCTTCCATCTTTATTTGACCCTCTAACTCTAGCACTCTCTATTCTAATTCTATTCTTTAAAAAATTGCCCCTTTTAGACTTGCACTATTCATTTACTAACTGCTTGTTTTCTTCAAAAAAAACTAACAAAAAAAAAAACGAACAGCTTCCCAATTCTTTTTGTATTCTATCTATTTATTTTCTTTTTATTTATTATACAATCAACAAAAGCAAAAAAGGCCTCTAACACTAGCTTGCTCTATTCTTTTTCTGTTCTATCTGTTTTATTTTTATTTATTATATAAATAAAAAAAACCTTGCTACGTGTAGGCTACTGTGTTAAGCTAACTGAGACTTGTTATAGCACTTGCATATCATTGCTCTTTTGTGATTTTGATTGCTTCCATTGTCCTCATTTGTAAGTCGCTTTGGATAAAAGTGTCTGCTAAATGACTACATGTAAATGTAAATAAAATACATATGAAAAAGTAAATGCAGAAAATAACAAATGAAGGGAAAATTGATAAAAAATAATTGTACAATTAAATGTAATTAAAAATGAATTATATTTGTTTTATTCAATTATATATTAATCAGAATACTTCTTTTATTTCCTATGATTACATTTATTTATTTGTCTGTCTATCTATTTATTTCTACATTTCTTTCTTTCTTTCTTTTTAATTTCTGCAGGTTTGTTCCTCCATATGAGTGTAGGAAATGCGCTTCTTTTCTCAAAGGTTTACAGGGCCAAATGTGCCCTTTCTGTCAAAGAACGGTGGAGACTTTTATTTTAAAGTAGTATCATTGCAATGGACTTATTGTGTTGTCATAGTAGCTGTGCTCACGTTTTGGCGTTCCTCGTAGTCGCAGGCATCACACGCGTGCAGTAGCCTGACAACAGCAGCAGCAGCAGTAGCAGCAGCAGCAGCAGGAGGAAATGGGGAGAGAGGGGCACCGCACCGTTTAACAAGACACTCTTCAACACAACACGACCAATAAAACAATTCACCATCGGTGAGCACGCGCCTCAATCTACAAACTCCAAGCGCGCCGAACGCTTGTTTTTTTTTCCTCTCGTGATTTTGAAATAATCAATAAAAACAACCGAAGCTAAAGCGAGCTCGCGTGCTAACAACTATCACCATAAAAAACAAGCTGTCAGGCGTACATTTGTTGAAAACTGTTCGTGCATTCAATCCCTGGCGGTGTAAATGCAATACGGGGTTTATTATAAGAGGTTTTAAGTGAGATAAATCAATGCATAATGTGATTTCTGCTTGCATGACGGTGCCTTTTTAGCTAACGTTACACGCGTCTGTTAGCGCCTTAAAGACTGATTCACATGGACTGATTCATATTGATTATTAGGACAGTTTCAGATAGTGTGATGTATTCCATATGTAATCAGATAGTAGCACAGTGCAAGAGTCACGTTTGTAATTGGCAAAGCGACAGATGCATGATTTTTGGGGTCCTCGGGTGTGTTGCTGGTTTCAAGGCCAAGGTCGCAATGAGGCCTAACTGATATGAATGAATAATATTTTTTTTGTATATGATGGATAGTGTTTAGATGCATCTGTGATTGTTATGATGGGTGTAGTGCAGTAAATATGTTGCTGGAGGGCACTGGTTTTCATCTGGTTGGCGTCTGGAACGTGGATGATTTTTTGCTTGTGTGCCACCAAGGATTATTAAAATGGGTTTTATGCCTTTTTTATAGAATTGAAAAAAATATTTTTTAGAATATAGTAAATGTGGTGTTGCATTAAGATTATTTATAAAAAAAAAAAGTATCTTAATTGTATTTATCATTTTTTTTGTCTTACCATGGTAATTCCATGCTATTTGGACATTTAGTAAAACCACAGGTGTCTTATAAATGCTATGGCAAGTGAATGTGATTATGATATCGCTTAACAAAAAGTACCGTGGTTGTATTATTACCCCGATACTTCAAAATATATTGTAGAACTAAATGTTGACATGGAACTCCAGATTATATGTCCCAAAACTAAAATAGTATTTTTTAAAGTGGTAAATCTCAGAAAAGTACTGTGGCGGTACCATGGTACAGTCAGGTGGTACTATAGTACTTTGATGTAAATCATGGTCCTGAAATAGAATGAGTATAATGTGCAGAATAAACCTTAATAATAGGGTTTATTTTAACATGTAAACTGACCAATATTTGTTGTGAGGTTGATTTCTTGATGAGTTGTTGATCATGTATTGTTTGTGTATTGTTTGTTTACACACTTACATTGTAAACCAGTTATTAATATTGATTTAAAAATGCTGTCATTAAAAGCTGACATTTTTTTAGAACAATTTAAATATGAAAAAAGAGTCATAAATTGTCTTCCGCATGGCAGTATGAGCAATTATGTAATTTTTTTGTAATGTTTTTAATCTTTTTTTTATAAATGTGGATCGAGCCATTAGAATAGAACATACTGTGTTATATGTCACAAAGTCTTCAAACTCTAAATAAAGTTTGATGCCATTTGATATGTACTTATTCCATAACCGGTTAAGGTTTATTCTGAAGTTGAAACTTACCACCAGCTCTATGCTGACATATGCATAACAAAAGTTGTGTACACGTTCGCCAAGTTCATAAATTGTTTGCGGCAGCATCTCATTAGAATATTTTGCACTTGTAAACACATGCACTGCAAATGCAATATCCCGCTGAATCAACTAGTTGCATTCTTCAAAATAAAGTGACAGTAATGTAAGCAGAATGAATAATTTATGAGAATTTATGAGCACATGTGAGACGGGGGTTACAGAGACCTGCCCTTTATTTTCAGGGTCAAATCAGGTGACCTATAGTGGATAGGTTGGCCCGAGGGGTCCTTTCATGTGACAAGTTTGGAGGCGGTGTTGGAAATCATGTGTTGGGAACGTTTATGTTGGTACTCCTGCATATGGAATTACTTTGAAACTAGTTTTTGTCATGTTTGTCTGTGAATATATACTAATTGGTAATGAAGTTGATTAGATTTATATAATGAAGCTCATAATTCTAATATTGCATAATATATGCAATGAATCGCCTGCGATTTTGAACGTGATTTCGTGTAGCTTGTCAGTGATCTACGGCTCTGTGTAGTAAATGCCGCTCCATCTGAAAGCACGTGCTGGAGATTTACTACTAATCACCAGAAGCGGCTTTACTGACGAGATTCGCATGAAAATCGCATTCGATTTTTTGCCCAGCCCTATATATAGATATATAGCTATATGTGTGTGTTTGTTAATATGTATATGTATATGTAGGCCTACTATACTAATTTTAATTCTGCAGAACTAATTTGTTATTGGCCACTACTGATATCTAAAAAAGAAATAAATTACACCAGCAACTATGAAGTATTTTTATTATAGATTATTCTGA